CGCCATCCTTTGCCGTCTCCAGTGGAGTTCGACAAGGTTGCCCTATATCCTCCTTCCTTCTCACCTTCACCATAGAGAATGTTCGACAGGACGCTTTGTCCGGTCTAGCAGACGGAGGAGTCGAATTTCTCTGAGGGAACAGAGTTATTGACTTAAAATATGCCGAGGAGATCGCCTTGTTGGGTGACAATGCACATGCAGTCTAACAAGCTTTACACCATTTGGCAATAGAGATATCCAGGTATGGTATGTGCTTGGCTCCATCAAGGTGCAAAGTGCTGGTTCAAGACTGGCGGGAGCCTGTGCCTGCACTCACGCTCTGTGGTGATCAGCTAATCGCAGCTGAAAGCGAGGTTGGAGAAGAGATCACATCACGAATAGCGAAAGCTAGAGCAGTTCCCGCCAACCTGCGACACCTGTGGCGCCGCCTTGACATCCGACTGTCCCTTAAGGGAAGGGTGCACATCGCCGCGGTCCGTAGTGTACTGCTTTACGGCTGCGAGACCTGGACACTCCGAACGGAGGATGTTAATCGACTTGCCGTATTCGAATATCGATGCCTTAGACGCTTGCTCGTGTCTGGTGGGAACATCGGGTGAGCAATGACGAAATTCGTCGTCGTGCTTTCAGGTTGGGGCCCAAGGGATGAGGATTGCTGATGGCTAGAGACGCTGGGAGATATGGCTCAGAATAGATGTCAGTGGAGCGGTTTGTTTGGCGAAACCCTGTTGCCAAGACCACAAAAAAATATTCAGAAGTGTACGGTGAAACTACAAAAAATTCCTTCATTTATACATTCGTTCTCCGTGTTCTCCGTTTCCCCCATTTATCTAATCTTTCTGTACCCCTCCATAACTTCATTATCATTGTTTGCATTGGCACCATGCCTGTTCTCAAGCCGATGATATATATATATATATATATATATATANGTCAGACTTGAGAACAGGCAGTGCCAATGCAAAACAAGGATAATGAAGTTATGTTGACTTATGTAGGTTGACTTTATGGCTAATAAAGCGTTCTTTGATTTGACTTGTTACCGTCGGTGATGGTGGAGTTCAATCAAAATTATTGGTGTTAGTTTGGTAATTGAAACATCCGGAGAGAAAAAATATTTTTCTATTTTACCTTCATGTACTCGCATTGCATATCATACGTGTACCGAAGACAAAGAGGTATGATTAGAAAGAAATCATTGCTAAATTCAAAGTCAGAGTCAAACCGTTCCAAATAATGAATAGGAATACGGTCGTACAATGCGTAGTATAAAGTACTTTGTAAGCAGATTTCACAGTTGGTTGACCGAAAATGCATGATAAAAGGTTGTTAGAGGTGCATTTGTAGTTACTTCATCAAACACGATTATTTTTGGATGTGAACGTGAGTATGGATTGTAAACTCCATTCGTTGATCCTAACGGATATTTTTCACTGTATACTCACGCTCTAAAGACTCTGTTTTGTCAATGGAGTGTCATATTCGTATGCCATCGTGGAAGCAGCAACTAACGATCAACTTGCACACCTGTGCGTCACGACGCATCAACCAAAGACTACTAAAAACTTTCGAAACAACTCACTCTGCAAGGATAGTGTTGTGAACGATAGTGAACATGTTCCCGACCGACAAGGGACAGCCCTTCTGACCGCAAATGAAGTTCCAAATGCTGGAAAAAATCGTAAGCATCTCGTGAAGCAAATGGGACAAGCATCCCCACTGCTCCGGATAGTGTGGCATACACGATTCCTTCAGACCCTCCGGGAATAAGAGTTGCCTTTTGCAAAGCGGTTACTACTTCACCAACGTAAAAGTGGCAAAGCATCTAGAAAAAAGAGTAGAAACCAAAAATGACATTCGCCAATAGGAAGAATAAACAAACTTTTCAAAAATACAAGCACCAATTAAGTGTTTCGTTTACAGAGAATGCATCTCTCGATTCCATATACTTAGTCAGTCCCTTGATGTTTCCTCGTAAAAAACTGATTGTCGTCTAATTCCTATGTTTAAAATTCCTTCTTTGTTAGTGGAAGCTCACATCATTTGATTGTGATGTTGAAAAAAATTTGTGAAGATCACCGAAGTCAAGCAATATATCAAAAACGCACACTTACATGATCATGTCAAACAAAGAAATATGGGAGATGGAATGAGTCGTTGTAACAAGGTGGTGGCATTTCGAATTATTGAGAGACCAAGATTGCGAACTTCGCGACACTTATTCATCGCCTGAAACCGTAATGGTGTTCAAAAACCATTTGTGACGCAATTGTTGTTGCCGTGGTAGTGCTAGTGTCACGCTTGATGCCGCCCTATCATAGTGTGTGACATAACCCTCAGTCCCCCAAACTGCACCATATTTTTTGAACTAGTTCACTTCCATATCAAATTTTGCTATTTAACTTTACCTTGATCATTGAACAAACTCATATCTCGCAACTCATTTGTCCACCACCTTCTTCAAATGACTAATATCAACTCCCACATTTTTTTCTTTTGACAAGATCATATAGTTCAGTTTTTCAGTTTGAACAACCATTAACCATGCACTTTCGTGCGACGGTTTTGGTTGCTGTCTTTTGGCTGCCCATTGGGATGAAGAATAGGAGAAGAAAGGAAAGTTGAACAAGATCATATAAATGTGTGCTCGCAGCTGAATGAGAGCACGCGAATTGATGGTTAACATCAATGGTGCCCACATGTATTCTTGTGTTCATTAAATGGATAAAGGGTAAATGATGTTACTTTTATCCCAAAAAATGCACCAACTGACCCATCAGTGTACCGAAATCTGATATATTGGACAGTAATCGTTTACTGGCCGAGTAAAACCAATCGGGCTATACTAATAGCTGGTGTCATGTGCAGGTTTGATCCTCTGTGAATATCAGCTATGGCTGATATCTAATAGGGTAGGGAGAACTGAAAATATCTTCAAAAGTTCCTCATGATGAAAACGCGTTGATTGAGGCGACTCGCCTGCATATGATTTTCTTTTTCATTCCTTTCATCCTGTATATTATTGCATAATCAAGTTGCAGCACGAAAGAAGCAAAATAATTCGAAAGTAAATATGGCAAATGAAGAAATGCGGGATTTGTGATGCGATTGAAACCCGCCGTAGTTCAGCGTTGGAACTCTCAACATTTGCCGTTAGATCATCACTTTCGCTTTACTTTCGGTTATGTATTATATACATGCATGTTTAGCTTATAACGGCAAGAAACAACAAGATGAGTAATCGAACGATTCCTCAGAATATCGCGAGAGATCCGAATACGAGGCTTGTATTAGAGGTCATTAGTAAGCCGAATTTTGTACAACACGAAACTGCTCTTCTGGGACATATGTAATAATCCGAAATAAAACCACTTACCTCGACTTTTTGGCTTGCACCCCCTAAAAGTCCTCGGTCCCACAGAGCGCGATTACCACTTGGATCATCTTCAACATCATCGACCACACCACTGGGAAGGCGCAAAATACAAACATTCCCGAACTTGTCGGAAACAGCAACAGTGGAAGGATCTAGTATGGCCAAATGTGTCACCCAACGGGGATTGGTGTCATCAGCAAAAATCACTAGTTGGTTGTCGGAACGAGGACGATAACGGACCCAATGAACACTTTCCTGGACATCTGTCACCACTATCCGACTACCAACAGAATAAATCCCGTTGATAAGATTCGGTAGATGCTGACAAAAACGAAAACAATGGATCAGGTTATAACAAAAAGCAAGTTAACATTGGGACGAATATCCAAAAGAATTTAACCGTTCTTTGTTTTGCTCATCATCGCATAGCAAAATACAGTGAAGTGAAATACATCAATAGTCAAGCTTACGATGAATGCAGATGAAGGGTGCGAAGTAGTTAGGTGAATTTTTTGGAGGGAAGGAGGATAAGACAGTCCTTGTGGTCGATACATAGAGTTCACTTTTGAAATATGCATGCAAACCTCAAGCATTTGGATCACTTAAATAAAGATAAGAAAACCGCTGGTATCGGTTCACTGTCAAATTCCCCAGACTCTACAACGAAACAACTATGGGGTGTTTCGGATCACAGTCTCTGTCATCTGTGGAACTCCGCGAGCTACTCCAATTTGAAGCAACAGTAATTAACTTGTATCAGTGTTCGAACGTTCAAGTTGGCTAACTTCAGCTGCGACCGAGGAGTGAGTAGTGTTCCCTAAATGACCTCGGTTGATAAATGTTTCTTTCGCATATGCTCAAGGATGTGGCTTCTTCCGTAGTCTTGGGCAATACATTGTTGAAGACTCGGAATAATGGGTGGTGAACCGAAAATATAACAATCGTGGAAAGAAAGAAATCTGATCTGGTGTGGTAATGTGAAAATCTGAGGCCGACCACCAACGCCTCAGACAAAGAGCGCATTGTGAGAGTAAAATTCGGTTCTGTAGAATGTAGGTGATATGGGCATAGGTGGTATACGCATGTGACTTCCCCGTTGCCCTGGCCTCAGAAGGGGGATAACCTCGAGATCCGCACTGGGAGGAATTGTCTGGAAATCAAAACCTGCGAGACAGCAAGACGGAGCTCCAAGACCGCAGTTCATTTGGTCCCATTCGGAGCTAGTGCCCGGTTCACTGGACCTTACGCAATTCAGATGAAGTCAAACGTCCAAGGCGCACAATCATCATCATTATCATCGTACAGCGAAATACAGTGAAGCGAACTTCCCTGGCCGNATACAAGGTTAGTGGTAAAATTTAAGGTGGGAGAAGTGGACCTCTACGGTCAACACACAGAGTGCAGAATCGAACTCTGCATATATACGGTTTCAAGCGTTCTGGCCCGATAAGAAATGACAACAAGAATACCACCGCTGGAGTTCGCTGCAATATCCTTCGATGTCTCCAACCAACCAGTTGTGGAGTGTTTCGGACGCCAACCCGGAAGGCGAGAGACACCTACTCTACCTAATGGCTCTGTGCATTTCTTCATGCCTCGTCTCCACGTCACCTGTTGACCTCTATGCGGTTTCTTCCCACTCCGATTAGCTACAGTGAATAAAGCGCGGTGTGGAAGACGATGGCTGGGTATACGTAATACGTGCCCTAGCCAGCGAAGTATATTAATCTGAATTCGGTGTGCTAGCAGGTTTATCCCTGATTGACTTCCAAACACATGGTGAATTACCTCCACGTTATTAACCCGATCGCTCCATCCCACATGGGCTAAACTACGTGAACACCGATAATTGACGTCCAAACAAGCGGGAGACTGTCACAGAAGAGAAGTGCATGCGTAGTTTGAGAAGTTCGGTCGTATGATAGCACATCAAGTGTACAGGGAGGGTGACCAGCCGCAACCCAAGACATCCACCCCGACCGTACTGAGGCTTAGACAGCAGTCTTCAATCATTTTGTTTTTTGAAGGAACAAAGCGCATATTGAGCGGAGTAAAAAAATCCTCAGTGTCAAGTGCATCATCATCATCATCATTATTGTACAGCCTAATACAGTGAAGCGCACATCACTAATAGCTGCCAAACTCATAATGCATACAAGCAAAGTGAGAATGTGTAAGGAGGACAGGGATTGAACCTATTTTTAGGAACGGGAAAAGAAAGCGATCTATTATCGTGTTGGTACTGATCAGCAAAGGTCCTTTTTCCATTAGGACTATACACTCCTAAAATCCAATGTCATGGACGGAATTTGGGCTCAGATCCATAGGCAGTTCCACCCAAATGCATGACACGTCTAACATGAATCCGCTTTTGATATACTTAGTCTCTGACAACCGATGCTGTATGGAATTATTCGGGATTGGTATTGATTAGAGACTTATGGACAACTGCTACTGGGAAGTCCAACAGCTAAACACGAAAATTAAAGTTCGCAACCAAAGCAGTTAGCCCGGACAATAACATGATGTCAAGGCAGCAGGTAAGAACCAATTGAACCCCACGAGACTTGGTCGACTACTCGTTCATCATTTTGCCGACTGAAACTACAGCTAGGGGCAAACCACCGAACATGGAAGTCCAGGGGATGACGTTGTTCGACGTGTCATACGACTTTTAAACCTTTGGTTTACAAAAGCCACTCTATGTACCTTGCTGGTCACCGAGGTACACGAGCCATTATACCATATCAAGGTGAAGGCTCTTCGTGACGGCTTTTCACTATCCCGAAGTCTCTGTATTCTCATTTTGCTGTCAGTTAGAATTTAGACGGCATCTCAATTCAGGTGCTTCCCGGTACAAGTGAAAACTTCATATGCGCAAAACACGAACAATGCTGACTTATTTCAATCAAGGTGCGATTAATGGAATTATCTCACATTAAACAAAGCGATCTACTGAGTATAATTTTATCGATATTGCGTATTGCTGAACGCCACAGTAGAAATGCTAACCAAGCGACATATCCATAGTCATTCATGCTTACTTTATTTTCGCATTTTTTCAGTAATTTTTTACGACCCAAATCGTAAATCCGCAACCGATTGCCAACACCGACAAGCAACCTGCCTTGAAATGCGCAAACTGCAGCAGGAAAGTCATCAACCGGTGTCTCGTGGATGAATTCTAATCGATCTCCATTGTTCCATACACGATACGTCCGGAGACAACCGCCTGAGCAAGACCGAGGGCTTAACACAAGGCCTTTCACGAGAGCGACGACCAAAAACAGTTCGAGAGGTCTGTATAAGAGACGAAAGTGACAATGAAATGGAAGATTACTGCAAACTTCAAAAGCTAAGTACTGATTATATACCAAGCAATAGAATTGGGGATATAAGTAGGAAGATACCAAACATACTGAAATTGGCTCCCATTGAACAGTATATATATATATATATATATATATATATATATATATAGA